GCCTCCTCCCTAGGCATGGGGCGCTGGCTGTGGAGGGACCCTTTGTTGGACCATCTGGAGTCCTTGGCCTGGGCCAGGCCCACTGTCACTCTCCCAGGTGAGACTGCCCTGTCACCCACCCCCAGACCTGGGAAGGGGGTTGGCACCATGTGCCATCTGGACACTCTCTGGTCCTTCCAACAAACTGGACTGGCCTGGGTGGTGTGGCCCTGACCTTGGGCCTGCTGGGCCTTCTGAGAGGCCTATCTCTTCCATCTGGCCTGATGTTGCAGGGCCTGTCATCTCCCTGGACAGTGCTGCCTCTTAGCCAAGGAGGGACACCTGGAGTGGCTTGGTGCCCACAGATACAGACTGTTCTTCCCAACACGGCCCCCTGGACCCTGGACACCAGGTAGTGCCCAAGGCTGTGTATAACTCTGGGAGTTTCATGTGCAGACCTCTCCATGGTGGCCTGTCCCTCGCCTGGGGTAGCCCTTGTGTCCTGCTGGGTGTGTTGTGAACTCAGTGAGGAGTTTCTATGGGGATAGAGGTACAGCCATCACCCCTCCAGCCAGGACCCCGGCCCTACTACCCTTTGTGAGGAGGGGCCCCCACACTGGGGTTCCAGCCCGTGTGGACTGCACACCAGCCGTTCCCTGGGGACGGTGGCCTGGTCGGGCGTGGAGCGTGTCTGTTTATCACATAGCTGTGCCTCGGCCCAGGCTAAGCTGGTGTCTGAGTGGCCTTGGGGCCTGCAGGTGGCCACGGTCCCTGCGTGCTGATGAAGGGCATGAATGGCGCCGTCCACACCCGAGTGCCTGGCACTGACCAGCCCCACTCTCTGACTAGCGAGGCTGCTCCTTTGAGCTGCCAAGGAGGGTGCACTCCTGGGTGGGACTTCCAGAGGACAGGGACGCTCCTCTCGGCTCCGCAGCAGCCCAGAGGTGGCCAGGGTGGGACGTAGCAGAGGTGGAGATGCCTGTGCCCAGGGCCTTTTGGGGGGACCGACATCCATCCATCTGATGCTGGGGCCATGGTGTCACTGTGGGTCACTCTGCCCTCTGAGAGGGGACATCCGTCCGTCTGCCTCTGGGGCCAGGGTGTCACTGTGGATCAGTCTGTCCTACGGGGAGGCATCTGGCCATCTCAGGCTGGGGCCTGGTGTCTCTCTGCCCTGGCAGGCTGTGTCCATCCATCTGACGCTGGGTCCGTGGTGTCACCAAGGCTAACTGTGCCATACGGGGGTGTGTCTGTCCCAGCTGGGGCCATGCCCTCATCCTGACACTCCCACGTGGCAGCAGCCACCTGGAGGTGGCACTCTGGGTGCCTGTGGATGGCAGGTGCTCTGGGTTTGCTGTGTCTTGACCCTGTGCCGTGCTCCCGTGGTCACCGCACCATTGGGTGTGGCCTCCTGTGAGGCTCCTCAGCGTCAGAACAGCTGCTGCCCCTGAGCCCAGATGCCTGGAGGTTTGCCGTGCCTTTGCTCTAGGCCACCTGCCCATGCCCGACCTGGCCTTTGTCCCCAGAGCGTGGTCCCTTCCCCACTGTCAGCACTGGGTCATGGCCATTGAGGGCTGAATCCGGGGATGGCTCAGTGAGGCCCCAGGGATGGTGGTGGGCTCAGTGTTTGTCCTCCAGTCCTCTTGGGTCAGCCGCAGTCCTCCCAAGGACAGCCCAGCCTCGCCCTGGAGGATGGTCACCGTGGAGTAGGCGGAGACCATGGGGTCAGAGGGTGGACATGCAGCTCCCTGGAGGAGGGGCTTCCAGGGCAGGAGACCTGGGAGAGGGTGGCCAGGGCAGCTGCAGGGCTCTTCCGGGAGCTCGGGATGAGTCCCAGGCCCCCATGAGCTGCCTGTCAATCACCTGGGACGCTCCAGGTCCCTCAGGCAGAGCACACGCCCACAGGTGGATTCCAGGCCCGTGCCAGATGGAAGCCTCCCATTCTCAACAGGTTTTGATCTGCCATTGGTTGACAGGGGCTCATGTTGACTCAGGGCCCAAAGTGGCCCACCTGGGGAGCAGGGTCTGGGCTGATGTGGCCAGTTCTAATGAAGCCCCTCGGTGGGCCTTGATCCAGTAGGACTGCTGTCGGGTAGGAAGAGGGACCCCTGGAGAAGGCCCTGTGGTGAAGGACAGCCTGGCAGTAGCATAGTGGACGAAGGGCCCCGAGGACAGTGGGCAGCGCTGGGGCCTGTCAGAGGACACGGCTTCTGCTTTCAGAGTGACCACAGGAAATGCTATCTGCCCTCGGAGCCACCAGGTCTGTGGCACTGTGTGGCAAGTAAACTGGCATCCTGTCCTGGTACCTCCCCTAGGACACCGGCAGTAGGGACCCAGGGCAGGGGAGCCTGGGCAGAGGACCACCTGTCCACAGGCCACTCTTACCACCACAGCTCCTGAGGGACAAGGGCCCAGGTTGGTGGCTGCTGCCTGACAGCTGCCCTGAGGTCCCCCAGAGGAGGGGGCAGGATTTGGAGGGCCATTGGCTTGCACAGGTGACTGACAAGGGTGACTTGCTGGCCACTGATGCACAGGCCCAGGGGCAGGGGGTGTGTAGTTAGTGGCCAGGTCTGGGGCAGGGGCAAGGGGCAGGGTCTGCTCAGCTTAGTGGTTCCCCAGTCCTGTTCCCGAGCCTTAGTTTGACCAGTCCCACAGGTAGACAGCTCCAGAGAACTGCCCAGGCCAGGCTCTGCCTGAGGAGGCAGCTGGCCATCACGCAGTCTCTGGGGTCAAGGTGGGCAGGAGGAGCAGGGCAGCCCTGAGCAGACCTGCAGAGCGTAAACAGGCAGTTGGGGACAGAGCCCACGTGGCTGCCGTGTGGGGAGCGCAGTGGTGGGCGCAGGGGTACGTCCCGTGGATGGTGTGTGCTGCGGTGGGGCTGGTCTGCCCAGACCCTGTTCACCGCAGGCACCTGGCAGGCGCTACCTGCTGCTCCGGGGAGCGTCCCATCATCCCCCTCCTGTGAGCTGCATCGTCTTCTTGCTGATTTATATGTTTGCTTGTTTATTCCGGCTGCTTTTTAAGGCAGGGTGCGATTTCATGACTGATAGTGTGAGTTAGGATCCGCAGCCTGCAGGGAGGCGCTGTGGCCAGGGCCTGGGGTTCTGCTGTCAGGAGCCGGCCCAGCAGTGCAGTGTCGGTGGCTCACGGTCCTGGGGACACCTGGATGTGTGCATGCCTCCCAGCCTCCTGAGCCTCGTGCGCCAGCTGTGCGTGACTCATCAGCACCCTGCCTGGCTCCAGGTAGCTGCGTCCGGCCACCTTGGACAGCTCCCCCAAGCCCTGCCCTGCGCTGTGGGCAGACCAGGCTGGGTGGCCTGTCTGGCATACCCTATAGATGCCCCTGTGCCTCCTGGGTGATGACTAGACTCAGACACTTCCCGGGTCCAGGGTTCCCTGAGCAGGTTGGGCTGTTGGGGCCCTGCCCACTGCAGCCCATTGGCATGACTGATGCCTGCTCTGGCCCAGGCCTGGGCTGGGCTGGGGACCCTGAGGGTGACGGCAAGGTGGGTACAGTGTGGCAGGAGTGAGTGTCTGCACGATGGCACCAGAGGAGCTGTGTGGTGACGATGGATCCCTGGTCTGCAGACCAGCCACCGGGACAGTGGGGACCACTGGTGTTCTGCCCCCTCGTCCTGCCTGCATCCGCGCCGTCCCTCCTGGGGTCAGCTTCACGGGGTTGTGATGCTCTGAGCCTCTGCCTGTGTCCCCTGTGAAGCGCTCACCTGGGTGGCTGGGATTCCGTGCAGGCATCTGCAAGGTGCTGTCTCCCCAGGCAGAGGCCGTGGGCTTGGCTGCAAGAGGGCTCAGGGCAGCAGTGTGTGCTGGTGGGTGAGAGCCAGGCCACCTGCTGTGGGCCATACGTGGGCACAGGGTGTGGGCATCTGGTGAGGGCCGCAGAGCTGTGTGGGGAGGGCACCAGCTGGGCAAGGGTCACCCCGTCTCCCAGAGGTGGCCAGTTCCATCTGATGGCCTGTGTCGAGCGCCGCCCTGCCTCTGTCGGCTAGTGTGTCTCTTCAGGGCTTGCTGCTGGTGGCCGAGCTACAACTTTACAGGCAGCGAGGACCTAACTTCCCCTTGGAAGTCCCTGGCGGCCGCCTTCCCTCTTCTGAGATGTCTGCCTCAGCCCCAGAGAGACGTGTGTCCCTGGGGCAGGGTGCAGAAAGCAACTGGAGTAGGTGCCGTTGCACGGCACGTGTCCCTAGGTTGGACCGGGCTCAGGGCCACGCCTGCCTGGAGGAGCCTGGGTGTCCCTGCAGGCATCAGTGTGGCTTGTGAGCCTGTGTGTGTCACGCTGGTGTGCACTCTGGCCTGCTCTGCGTCCACCTACCAGGGCGTGGTGTGTTGTGTCCTCATCTGTGTGTGGCTGTGGGTCTGTGACACGTAACATGTGCGCATATGTGTGGACACGCACAGGCCTTTGGGAAGACAGCGGAACCCGGACCTCCTGGCACAGATGGCCCAGCTGGGCTCCCTGCCATGCAGTGTGCGCCCGGGTAGGGTGGTGGCTCCTGCGTGGCAGTGTGACCGCTCACACAGGCTTTAGCACACCTGAGGGTGTCTGACCTGCTTTCTGACCCTAAGGTGTCACGTCTCGAGGGTGGCGTGCTGGCACCTGGGGACAGAGATGGAGGGACTGGCTTGGTTTCAGGGTCCTCGCCCTGCAGTTGGAGTCCCTTCTGTCCAGTGCTGTGTGTGTGTTGGGGTGGAGAGGCAGCTGCTTCCTCCCGTCTTGGCCCTTTCATTTCCGGCGTGGCTGAGACAGGGCCAGGTTTAATTTCCTGTCTGCTGTGGCAGAGCTGCCTGAAAACCAGGCACATACAGAGCACAGGCGGCTGGGGTGGCCCAGGACTGGATGCCAGGGCGCTCTCCGGGTGTCCTCCACAGTGTTCTAGATGTCCCCTTGGAGCCAGGTCTCCTGCCCAGAGCCCTGGCAGGCCATGGTGGTCTTCTCTACGGGTGGGCACTGTGTGGCCCTGCAGGCTGTGGCCATTCACCTGACAACTCCTTCTCTCTTGCAGGTCAGCTGGCCGCTGGCACCTGTGAGATTGTGACCCTGGACCGAGACAGCAGCCAGCCACGGAGGACCATCGCCCGGCAGACGGCTCGCTGCGCATGCAGAAAGGGGCAAATCGCAGGCACCACGAGAGCGCGGCCCGCCTGTGTGGATGGTAAGCAGCCAGGCAGCACCTCAGGGTGCTGTGGACAGCGTCACCCAGGGCCGCGGTGGGAGCCAGGTGTGGCCCTCTGAGCCTGCTGCGGGGTGTGCCCCCGGCGACTCTGGCTGACCTCTAGCATGACTGCACTGTGGGCCGCTCACTGTGTGCTTCCTGAGGGCTAGGGTGGCAGGGACCAAGTCTCTGGGCCCTCGGTGTTGCCACAGGAGAGGGAAGGACGGTGGGGGTGGTCTAAGTGGCATGTGGTGGTGAGCGAGATGGCACAGTCTGCTGGGCGCCCGCTGCATCTGCACGCCCCGCGTGCTCTCTCTGCCACGGCCGAGAGAGCACGCGGAGTCCTTGCCTCTGGTTCTGGCTGGGATCCAGCACCGTGAGCTGGACTTGGTGGAGCCTCCCCGTGGGCTCTGCAATTGAGTGGCCCTGGCCTCCTGGGACACCCCTGCAGTTCAGCCGCCTGTGAGATGCACCCCGTTCTAATCCTTCCTGAACAGATGCTCCCGGGGGTGCTGGGTGGGGGAGGCACCCTGAGAGATCTCTGTGAACAGAACCACAGGTGGGCTTTAGGGGGAGGAGGGGCCCTGTGGCTGCCCTGGTGCCTGGGTATCTGGCCAGTGGTGGAGGAGGTCACTGTGGGTCACTGTGGGAGACTTGGTTGGGGGCAGGCAGCCCGTGGTTCATCCTGAGACCTGGGAGCCCCAGTCAGGACCTCCACCTGGGCCACAGAGGGGTCAACACCTGCTGGGTCAGACCAGGGGGGCAGAAGCCAGGCACCTGAGCCAGGCTGGAACCCACCAGAGTCACCTCCTGTGGCGTGGTGTGGGCCTGGCCAGCAGCAGCTGAGTCGGTCCAGGTGACCTCGAGGGAGCGGCCCCACTTTGGAGCTGTGGAGGGGCCTTGGTTTCAGGCACAGAATCGTGACCACAGCCCATGAAAGGGGTCAGAGAGGACAGAGTCCCCTGTGGGTAGGGCTCTGAGACCACCTCCTAGAGTGCAGAGGAGCCAGGAGCCCCGGATGGTGACTGTGGACTTGGGCTGCTGGAGTCCCAAGAGCCCAGGCCCGGGGCTGGGGTCCAGGTGGGGTGTGTGGCTGGGCCAGCAGGAGGCCCTGTGTGGCCAGGCCTGGGCAGAGGGGGTGGGCCTGGCACCCCCACGACCGTGTGGTGGGGCCTGTCGGGGCCTCAGGTCGCCTCTGGGGCAGCCACTGCTGTCGTGCCGTGCCGGAAAGAGACTCAGGGAGGTCAGAGTTCCTGCTAGTCACTCAGCTGACGTGGCCTGGTCTTTCTGGTCTGGCTCAGGTCTCTCTTCCCCCTCAGTCTGTGCACAGGATTTGGGCCCCTGGCTCAGATTCTGCCACTTCTGCCTGGGACTGCAGTGCCCAGCTCTCCTGTGCCCCAGGTCTGCGTGTGGGCGCAGGTCGGGTCTGCGTGTGGGCGCAGGTCTTGTCTGTGCACTGTGTTGAGAGGGCAGAAAGGACGGCAGACTGGGGCTCTGAGGGGTGGAAGGGTGCCTTGGGAATCAGATGCCATCACAACCCGGGAGGGTGTCCCCACCAGCTGAGCAGTGTCCACTGTGACCACCTGCCTCCCCAGCTAGGGAGGGCCCTCCAGGAAGGGACCAGCAGAGCCCATGAGCAGGAGGCTGGGGGTGGGCTGACTGGATCCCCAGCCCCTTCCAGTGTCTCTCAGAGGGTGTGCTGGGACTCGCCAGAGACTCGGTCAGGTTGGGAGTCTGGCCTGGGCTGAGGCAGGGAGCTCCAGCCCCACTGGACACCTGTCAGAAGGGAGGGAGCAGGCCCAGCCAGGCCTCGGCCGGTCCAGGCCTCAGATCCCAGTGCGGCTTCTGGGCTGAGGCTCTGCACAGGTCTGGCTAGTGGTGTCCTCACCTGGAGACTCCAGGGGCCCAGGACGAAGTATCCTATGGGGCTCCCTGGGCTCACCGGCCTCCTTCTGCTGTCCCTGGACCCCATGGCCACCCACATTTCTGCTTCCAGCCCAGAGAGGCGCTGGGGTGTGTGGAGGGCACTCCGAGGCTGCGGGGACGAGGCTGAGCCTGTTGGCCAGGGGTGAAGTGGTGCGGCACATCTGCAGGGCCGGAGGCCAGCGTCCCTGGCCTCACGGAGCCGTGTCAGTTCCTGTCCACACAAGATGACCTAGTAAAAAACCTGGTGGCAGTTACTGGGATCCTGGCACTTGGCCTGCCCAGCCTACTTCCCCCAGGGGCCGCCATCTTGCTGGCGGGGAGCCGAGCGGGCTCTGGCTGCGCCCTGCGCTCTCTGGCTTCCGTGACTGGAACCCGTGACACGTGGTGGCGAGGAGGCCTTCTTGGTTGACATTGATTGATTCTTCCCAGGACGGAGTGGGGAGACGAGGCGCTCGCGGCTGGGTCCTTCCCCTCCCTCATTACCTCCGCGTGCCTGTGGGGAGACGGGGTCAGGATTGATTACTAATTGAATCTGGGTCTGCTCATCTGAAACCGTGTCCACGTCCCTCTCCCCAGGAGCCTCCCAGTGCCTCAGGAGCTGGGTCCCAGAGACCCAAATTAAACCCTCGCCACTTTCCAGGGAGGCCAAACAAATTAGTTAGCCGGCGTTTTCTGCACAGTGGGCATTTCCAGGCTGCCATCTAATTTAATTTTTGCTTTTCTCTTTCCTCGCTCCGCGTGCATAATCAGTTTCTTTGCGTGCGACTGAGTCCGCCGAAGGAAACTCGGGCCTGGTTGGTCTGGTGGAGCTGGATGCAATCAGGGCTTCTCCCGGGGTGGCTCCTGCCGACCCGACGTGCTCTGGGAACCCAGGAGCAGGGGCTGCTGGGCAGCGCTGCGTCTCTGCACCGGTGCGCTTCCTCCTGGTTGGGTTTTCAGTTGTTTATAAATTTGCTCATTTGGATAAGGACTGTGCTCCTGGGTGCGGGGGCTGTATGGGAGCTGGGCCCTCCTCATGTCCAGTCTGCAGAGCCTGGGGGCTGCGGCCAAGGGGGTCGAGGCCCTCGCCGCCTGCCCTCGTGCAGCTGCAGCCTCAGTGGTGCTGAGGGGTGACGAGGAGCTGGCCGGAAGAGCTTCCCTCTGTGGAGGAGAGGGGACCTTCAGGCCTTCGGCCTCCCTGGCCCAGTCTGTGAGTGGAAGCGTTTCCGCTGAGCCAGTCCCCAGCACTGTGACCCTGTGCACCTGCCTGAGAATCACTTCCACTCACAGAGCTGTCAGGGAAAGGGACGTGAGAGCAAACTGGTCCCTTGCTGCAGGGCTGCCCACCCTCACTAACATCACAAACAGAACTCCCCGGAGGGCTGCCTTCCCAGCCCGGCACCATGCCAGGCGGGTGGAGGCTGCCCCTGCTGAGCTCACGGCATCTGTCAGTGATCTGAGTCCCCTGTCCCGTCAGCAGGAGCACGCGTGGTCCCGAGCGCTCCTGTGGGAGTGCAGAGGCCCTTGCTGGTGCCGGCGGGGCACACGGTGCCCGCTGTCTCTCTTGCAGAAGCAGTGCCTGTTCACAGAGCGGCTCCCTCCTGTAAGCAGGGCTTTTGTGAAAATCCTCTGGGAGAAATCGGGTTGGCAGCCTGGCGCCAGGTGGGGTACAGGGAGCAGAGCTGGTGGGTTTTGAAGCAGTACTTCCCAGGGCCACGGAGGGTCACAAAGGAGGCAACGGGGGGACTCCAGGCACAGGACACAGGCAGCTTTCCCTGGGAGCCTGAGGGAGGAGGGCAGGCTGGGTTTGGGGCATCGCAGGGACCTGTCAGGAGGGCTGCAGCTGGCCCCGGGGCTGGAGGACGCCCAGGACTACAGGCGGTGCAGGGAAGTTAGAGCTCTCTCCCGTGCGGCCAGAGGTCTCCACCCAGGAGGCTGTGGAAGACCAGGAGGACCTGGCTGCTGACCTGACTGACCTGTGTCACCTGCCTAGATGATCGTGGGGCTTGAAACCCAAAGCAGACGTGGCCCTCCTGGTGAGCTGGGGGGCACAGTGGTCCAGAGTTCAAGTCCAGAGCCACGGCTCCAGCTGCTCACCTGCGGGTGCCATGGGCAGTGCCCTTGTCTGTCTAGCAGGTGGGATAACAGCTTTGCATCCTCAGGCTCTCAGTGGGCGAGATGAGACCCTGCGTCAGCTGGCCCTGGCCATACCCCACCTGGGCAACCACCCTGTCTGCCAGACACAGGTCCTGGCAACCTCTGGGACAGCGGGGGGATGCTGGGGAATGAGGGGAGGGGTCCTTGTTGGGATGTGGGTGTGTGAGTAGCTGCTGCTGGTCTGGGTGAGCAGGGGGTCCCGTTTTCGGGGACAAAGTTGGTCCAGAAGTAGATGTGAGGAAGCGGGAGTACAGAAATAAACCTCCCTTACACAGGAAGCCGACTCTGCACCCACCTGCCAGACACTCGGAGAGGAAGGAGCAGTCTTTTCCACAGCTGGCAGCGGGCAGCCCGCTGTCCACACGCAGGGGAACGGAGCAGACCCTGCTCACACAGCATGCAGAGGTCACGTCAGAATGGATTGGAGCCCGGGAGGTTGAGGGTGAACTCTCCTAAACTTTTAGGAAAAACACAAACAAAGGGTCAATCTTTACAAGCTTGGGCCTGGCCACGGATTCTCAATGTGACACCAAAAGCAAGAGCAGTGATGGGACTCGTGGTGACTGGCATGGTCTGTGCCTCCAGTCATCCCACCAGGGAGGTCAGGAAAGTCCACACAGAGGTGTGAACACAGATGCTCATGAACCACGGTCACCAAGAGTGGACCCAACCCAAGCAGCACCAGTGCACGAGTGGGTAACAGAAGGTGGCCTGTCCACTCATGGGCAGCACCCAGCCATGCTGCAATGTGGTGGACCTTGGCAACAGGGTGCTGAGAAAAAGGAGCCAGAGCCCAGGGCCACATGTGATTCTCTGGACGTGAGATGCCAGGACAGGCCATTCCAGAGACAGGTGGGTCGAGGCTGTGTGCAGGGGCGCAGGGTGGGGAGTGAGAGGCAGGGCCTTCAGGGCTTGGTCACAGCCCATGAAGAAGCCCT